TTATTCAATAAAATTAAAAAAATGTAAAAATTATGGTGTTTGACTTTGGTACAGTTTTTTTTATCTCACCCTGTATAAAGTTTCCCTGTTCTATTAAATATTTTCATACTTTGAAACCTAAGAATATCTTATTACAAGAATATGACGATTCCTTTACCATACATAACCTCATTTTTTCGCATTAAATTTTGTAAGACCGTATTGACAACGTTTCCACAGAAATGCCGGTGGGCAGAAAAATAGAAAACCACAAAAACAACCAAAAAAAAAAAAATGTATAACGCCGCCATCTAACATACATTATTAACATAAACATTCCTTTATCCCAAAGTATATATATGTTAAATATTAAAGTAGAAGAAGACAGCGAAATGAAAAAAAAACTGAACCAAACAAACAATAAAAACAAGATAATATAAAGAATATGAATAAAATTGAAAGTTATCCTTTTATTATGAATGAATGAGAGCAAAAAAAAAAACAGAGACAAGACCTTGAACCCATAAAATCATGCCATATCATATAGTTGTTTTGGGGGGGTGTACAAATGTATATACTTTACAATGCGCGTTACAACGTTACATATATTTAATAGAAATAACAAAACAAGATGCACAGACATATATACTTGTATTTTCCTGCATACATACCTAATTTTCAGAGAAAATATGTATCTATGCTGTGCTACCCCATCGCCCACGCCCCCCATGACCGGGGAATACATACAAACACAGGATGAAGAGAAAATGCTAAAAGAAAATCAGGCATCAGTGTTTGGGGTAAATCAACGAGGAAAATAAGGCCAAGTTAATATGTATTTATGTAGGTATATACAAAAAGAAATAATTTCCTTGGTCTTGAACCATGAACATCAAAGGAAAACAACAACAGCCAAAAGAAGAACCACCACCACAACAAATATCTTTCGACCATTGAAAATGTAAACGCGCCAAATCTTTACACGAAATTGTGGGATGGAAACTCAAAATCGAATAAAATCTTAAGAATCAATGTTTTTGAATTATGGGATAATTTTTTTACCCACATTGTTGATTTACATTATCCATATTATCAGCAAATTATAAGAATAAGTTTTGGGGATAAGGGGATAAGTTCCCCCTCTTCTACATTTTTTTTTTTTTTTTGGAATTTTCGGATTAAGATTCCTTGAAATCACTTTTCTTCGGCAATACTAAAGATAACAATACGAGGAATATCTTGAATATTTGTCAACCTCCAAGCTAGTCCCCAAAGGGGTATTTTTGATACTTTTTTTTTCAAAAGATTGCTAAAAACTCCCCTGAAACGGGATCGTCCCAAGTCAAAATAATCCACAAAATTATTTGGCATTAAATTCTACCATGTCGCCTAAAAGCCATCAAAAGTCTAAATCTTATGTAAACTCCAGGATTTCAAATACATATTAAATCTGTAAGGAAAAATCAAAAGTTGGTCAGGGCCGACTATACTACACCACTATGGATATTTAGTAGAGTTCCCATAACAAAATAATTTATTTGAAGCAGATCATACCTCCTATCAACCTTTGGCTTTAGAGCAGTTATAATTTGGATCCAAAGAGAACTAATATATGGGAGGCAAATACAATATCATTGTTGTCCAATGCATATTACGAATGTGAGGGACTTAAACCCCAAATCGGATGAAATATATATATATATATATATATATATATATATATATATATATATATATATATATATATATATATATGGGTGCTATGGCTATATCTGAACCAATTTTTACCGAATTTGATGTACTTGCTTCTAGACTGAATTCGGTCGGATGTGCCAATATTCAGGTCATTAGGACTGATATTGGTTATTTGGTGCACAATTAATCCGCCCCGTGAAAATTGTTGCCCATTTAATTAAATTTATCTAAAAATCGGGGTACAAATTTTTCACCCTCGTTTTACGTAAAATTATTCTTTTTTTAACCCCCACATAGCATAAATTCCATTTACACGCAAAGAGAACAACCCAACTCCTCTAGAGCAACAAACTAGTTATTTATTTATTTATCTAAAAAAACGGCAATGTTTTCATGTCTTTGGCATTTTTATTACAACATTTCAATACACCTTTGTTCAGGCGGAACCAACCAAATTTTCTTGCCTATGCTGCGTCGTCCTTCTCTTTGTTGTTGTTTTCGTGATTGTTTATGGGGCACTTGTTGTATCTCACAAACTTTATACTTAAAGAAATTTGAAAAGACAGTTTGCCAGCAGTCAACTTTTTTGACAACCAATATCGCATTCATGCAAACACCCAACCAACCATCCACCCACTTTCTATTTCTATTTCTTTCCTGCCGAAATTCTCGCTCCAATGAAGAAGCAGACACAAAAAAGGAACCAAACGTCTTCGTGTCATGCACTCAAAGTAAAAGTGAAATATTTTATGTCTCTTGTTGTTGTTTGTTCTCCCTCTCATCGACACAATTTTTGGGGTTCCTGTCATTCGCTATGGCACCGAAACATTTGTGGGAAAATTGAACAGCTGTCAAATCGTTAAATGTCTTCTTAGCCAGTAGAGCGGGAGCGGGAGTGGTGCAGTGGGATGTATCAAGTGTAGATTGGAAAGCTTGCCATGTTGTTACTCCTGCTGGGCCAAAGTAATTGTTTTTAAAAATATGCCTTTAGAAGTTTCCCTTTCTGTTTTTTTCTTTTTTTTTTTTTTTTTTTGTTTTTTCTCTCGAGAAACAAGGAAATTGCCGTAGATATTTCTTGGTTGCCATGAAGATGGGTAGACATTTTTATATTTTAAGATTTTCCCAAACTCTAAATAAAGATCACAATTTATAGTGTGTTTTAAAGCATACTTTTAGGAAAATATATTATTACAATTTATATATTCTTACTAGCTGAACCCGGTGCGCTTCGCTACCCCTTTTGATTTTATATGCATTCAAAATTTTATTTACGAACATATGTTGGATAATAAAAACAAATTTGAAAATTAAAAAAAAAATAAATATTGCACTAATTTAATGCGTTAATAAACAAAATCATTACAAAAGCAGTAACATGACATGCATACACGAAGGATTTGTCCTTTGGATTTATTTATTTCATAGCAAATACCAAGTGTGCAGGAAACTGCAATTTTTTTAAGTAGAGTGGCATTTCTATTGCAGTTAGTGAATTCGAGATAGCAACATACTTCGCCGTAATAATCTTATTTCAAATAAATTGTTGTGTTGTTTTTTAGTGTTAGCCTAAGGCGTTGTGGGTCAATGGTTCTTATTAAAATCATATCCCAATCTGATCCGATTTAAATATAATTTAAAAAAAAATTACTTTTACACCAAACTCCGCCACACCTTTCATATTTCATTGAAATTGGTGGGTCAAATATGTGAAATCGGCCGAGAATATATATATGGGAGCTATATCCAAATCTTCACTAATTTCCAATTAATTTATCACATTTATTATTATAACCAAATTCCGCCACACATTCTGAATTTCATTGGAATCGGTCATATATATCGTGTTTGGTGCATAATATGTATGAAATCGGCGGAAATATATATGTTAGCTATATCCAAACCTCAACTGATTTCAATATAATTTGGCAATTTTTGCTGGTGCCAGATTTTGTCTCTCTCGCTTTGGGTGCATCAAATATGTGAAATCGGCTGAATATATATTTGGGAGCTATAATCACATCTGAGCGTATTTGAATATAATTTGTCAAATTTATTTTGGTACCAAATTTAGCCACTCATGCCGAATTTCGTTGGAATCGGAAATACGTATCGTGTTTTGTGCATCAAATATGTGAAATCGGCGAAAAATATATATGGGAGCTATATCCAAATCTGAACCGGTTTTAATATAATTTGACTAATTTATTTTCTAATCAAAATCCCGTTACATATTCCAAATTTCTTTGGAATCGAACATACATATCGTGTATGGTGCATAAAATACATGAAATCGGTCGAAAATATATATGAGAGCTATATCCAAATCTGAACCGATTTTAATATAATTTGACAAATGTATATTTGTTTTAATTTCCGCTACACATTCCAAATTTCATTGAAATTAGAGATACATAGCGTGTTTGGTGCATCAAATACATGAAATCGGTCGAAAATATATATGGGAGCTATATCCCAATCTGAACCGATTTCAATTTAATTTGACAAATTAATTTTGGCTCCCAATTCCGTTACTTATTTTAAATTTCATTACAATTGGAAATACATGTCGTGTTTGGTCCACCAAATACATGAAATCGGCCGAAAATATATATGGGAGCTATATCTAAATCTGAACCGATTTCAATATAATTTGGGAAATCAATTTTTTAGATAAAATCTATCACACGTTTCAAATTTCATTTAAATTGGGGATACATAGCGTGTTTGGTGCATCAAATGCTTGAAATCGGCCGAAAATATATATCGGAGCTATATCCAAATCTGAACCGATTTCAATATAATTTGACAAATTTATTTTCGGATTAAATCCCGTCACACATTCCAAATTTCATTGGAATCGAACATTCATATTGTGTTTGAGGCATCAAATGAACGAAATCGGTCGAAAATATATATGAGAGCTATATCCAAATCTGAACCGATTACAATATAATTTGGCAAACTTATTTTTGTTTCAAATTCCGTTACGTATTCCAAATTTGGAGACTGTATCTTCAACCAATCAATAGATATGTGCATATAAAATCTAAATTTTTGGGAGGTACCTCCGATTCTGCTGCTATATCTCCAGTTCCAAGTGGAAATTCAAAAATGTATATAGCCTATGTTATTTTCAGGCGATGTTGCAGTATATATGGAAATGTTCAGGAAAATCTATTCAGCGGTTTTCGAGTCCATAAATTACAAACAAACAAACAAACAAACAAACATACAAACATTTTCCTCTTTTATAGATATAAGATTCACAAAATTTCTTAAAAGTGTTTGAATAAAAATTAATGAACTATTCTTCTTCTTCCTTTCAGGCACTGTTTTCAAAGCTCACAAATTAATATTGGCGGCATGTTCGAAAAAATTTGCCGATCTCTTTGAGACAACACCCACAAATGGACAATGTGTTGTCATACTGGAGGCAACGTCCTCCGACAACATGGCGGCATTGCTCGAATTTATGTACAAAGGTGAAGTACATGTCTCACAAGAGGCCCTCAACAGTTTCCTCAAATCTGCCGAAAATTTACAGGTAAATATACCAGGCTCTGCTATCGATCAAGTAATTCAATGAACAATTTCTTTTTTTTTTAATGCAGGTCAAAGGTTTGTCCACGGAAACAGGGCGTTTGGCAGCCCAGCAGGCTCAGCAACACATTGAATCCTCTTCGCTGCTGGATTCCCCCAGCCGACGCAGTATACGTAACAGCATTAGCGGTGCTGGCAACAACAGTCTAACCGGCTCTTCCAGCTTGGGTTCGGGTAACATAAACAGTTCCGCCGGCGGCATCAATGCACCGGGCGGAGGTGGTGGCGGTAATTTAGGTTTACCGGAACGTTGTCCCAGTACAGGAGGTATAATTAGTGGCCCACCATCGGGTACAAATAGTTCTGCTGGTGGTAGCTCTGCCGCTGGTTTAGGTAGCGGCGCTGGCGCTGCTCTCCATCTCGGTAGCTCTACCGGTAGTCTGAAACAAGAATGCGATTCACTCATGCATCCCAGTAGTTCAACATTGGGAAATATGTCCTCATATGTGCCGCCCATGTATAGACCAATTTCATATGAACCATTGCGTAAACGTGCCCTCCGCAGTCCCTATGCCGAACAGGAAGTACGTGGCAGTGTGCTGAGAGACGGTTCGAAAAATCCATCAGAGTGTCCAAGCCCGATCAGTAAACCTCCGTATCATCGACCATCGTCCAGTGCATCGTCGACAGCACCAACAGAGGCAGATACAATGCATTCGGAAAGGGCATCGCCACAATCGAGGTGATTTTTTGTGAAGAGATTTTTAGCTAGTTTTAAGAGTAAACATTAATTGTTGTTGTTGTTTTTCTCCGCGCATTTTAGTCGTTACGATAATCACAGTCCCAGCACCACAGGAGGCAATGGTAATACAAACAGCGGCACATTGGATAGATCGGTTAAAATGGAACGTAATAATGGCAGTACAAAAGAGGCTAACAATGATGATGATCATGAAGATTTAGATGATCCCAGAGAGGTGAGTAGAAAAGGGAAATTTATATGGGTTTCGAGCTTAGGAAGTTTTCAAAGACTCCAAATAAAAATTCGTTGGCTGAGAAATGCATACGCCAGGACTTGTAATGTAATTGCTTCATCTGGAGAAAATCTTCAACGCGTAATTTGTCCGATTTGAAAATAAACGAGGACTGGAATTTTCCTACAGAAGCATTCCTCAGGACCTGAGAGCTATTTTTTCGTTGAGTGAATCGGTCTTACTTTAAGAAATATTTTTTTTTTATCTTAAGAAAATGTATATGGATACAAAATATCCTCCTGTTAACAGAGGGCTCAATTTGTTTCGTAGTAAGAAATACTAAATTCATATATTCAATATGACATTTTGTTGGAAACTCCACCATAAAAATATCCTATCCCAATGAAAAATATCCAATTTTGAAAATATATAGTTACAACAAAACTCAATTTCAACAGAGTAGCTTTGATTGTTAAATTAAGTCCTGGGGATTGATTTATAAATATTCAAAAAAATCTCAGGCACTGAAGATAGGTTACAGCTAAAAAGCTCATCAAGAAACTTTATTCCAATACAACAATCCTCAGACCCCGAAAACAAAAAGCTTTCAAAAAAACTCGACGGACCTTAGGAACTGACTGATTGGCATCCTGTTCCATAACTAAATATTTTTCTAACCTATTCTAGAACTGCGCTGAAGATTTACGGGTTAAATTGGAAAATTCCAATTATTCACCCCCACCACCACCCACCTCAAATACCTCACCCACCACACCAACCGCTTTATTGGAGAGCCTAAAAAATCCTGATGGCTCTTTGCCCGGTAGTTTAGCGGCTTCAATACCACCCGCCGATATGTTAAATGTATGGAATGCCACAAAATTGAATAATAAAAACAGTGGCATGGTAAATACAGCTGATGGTAAGTAATAGTTTTTTGTTTTTTTAATTTCAACAACAACAATTGGCTAATTTGCAAAAGAAAAATTAAAACAAATTATTTTTTTATTTTTCCTTCCCTCCGCTCCAACACACCAAAAAAAAAAAAAAAAACAATTAAACGCTTTGTTCGTTCCTAATTTGGATACACTTGTAGGCAAGAAACTTAAATGTTTGTATTGCGATCGTTTGTATGGCTATGAGACAAATCTGCGAGCGCATATACGGCAACGTCATCAGGGTATCCGGGTGCCATGTCCGTTCTGTTCACGTACATTTACACGCAACAATACCGTACGCCGTCACATTGCAAGAGAACACAAACAAGAGATTGGCCTGAGTGCTGGTGCCACCATTGCCCCAGCTTCCGTTGCCGCTGCAGCAGCGGCCACCAATCATTCACAATAGGATGCGGCCGCAACAGCGGCGGCAGCAGTAGTTATGAGTGCACAAAAAGAGGCTAATAAACAACGTAAACGCAAGTCATTAAAAATGGCACTGGAGAAGTGTATGCAGCGCAGAGATGCTGGTGGTGATCAACCACAGCAACCACAGGCGCTGATTACTTCTCCAACCATGACAGCTCCGGCTGTTCCTCCTGCTAGTACAACAACATCGCCAACTAAGGCTCAAACCGAGTCAACATTAGATCTAACCAAGGATGATGAAGATAAAAATCTTAGCCATGAAATGGATACCACAGAAACTGAAACCTCTATGGATACATCCGCTGAAGTGGCAAATTCAGAATTGTCCAAATCTAGAGTTGAAGAGGAGGAAGAAGATGAGGATTTGCAATCTGCGGAATCATCGTTTAATTGTCAAAATTTAAGCAAAGAAACAAATAACCAGGATTCTTCAGATGACAAACCCTTAGATTATACAAATTCTTCCTGCAACAAGGAGCCGAAGGCAGAAGTTGCAAAAGAGCACGAGCAGGAGCAGGAACAGGAGAAGGCGATGGAGCAGCAAACTGTTACACAAGAATCGCAGATACAGCAGGAGAAAAATAATAACAACAACGATGATGAGAATGACGACAACAATGTTAAAGAAAAAGAATTAGCCTCTACAAAAAGTGAATGAAGAAATTGACATCAATTTTCATTCAAATCGCGCAGCACTCATTGAGAGTAAAAAAAAAAAGAAAATGCCTAAATATTAAGAAAACTACTGTTGCAACTGCTGTTGCTGGATGGAATAAAACAATATGGCCAAAAATATTAGTTTTTGGCCTAAAAGGCTTTGTTAAGCATATGAAACATGTGGAAAGCCTACAAAAAAAGAGATAAACTAAAACGCCAAAACTCTTTTAATGCTAAATTTATGTTCTAATCTTAACCGAAGAAAGCCTAAAAGCTGTAAACTAATTTGTCATTATTATGTACAGAGCTACTATAAAAAAATGTGTGAATATTTTGTTTTTTGTTTTGTAATTGTAATCGTTTAGTTTGCCAAGAATTTTTCAGTTTCCATTTTAATTATTATTTCTCCGTGTTCATTGTTGTTAAAAGAAAGAAAAAACAAATAGTACGATTTTCTCGTTGTTACATAAAATCGTTAAAATGCAAATTTTATAGCAAAGAAAACTAAATCAATGAAAGAATGAATGAATGAATTACAATCAATCAATCAAGCAAATAATCATTATGAAAAGAATCCGACTGAAAAATCGTTTTCAGGGTGCTAATAATATTTTTTTAGTTTCTTTTTGTTGATGATCTTTAATTTAATTGAATTGAAAAAAAAAAACAAAATCAAAACCAAAAAAGAAAAGAAAAATGCAAATTTAAAAGAAAACAAACAAAGAAAATAACATGAATTTACATATTGAACGTTATTGAAGGAATGAAATGAAATGAAATGAAATGAAAAGAGAAACAAACAAAGCCTTAAATTAAATAAAAAAGAAAATAATAGTTAAAATTCACAAGAAAAAATGGAAAGTCTAAAGAAGAATAATTACAACAAAGTTTGAACGTTTTTGGATTGATAAAAACATATATATACGTTTTAATTTTTTAAGTTATATATTCTTTTTATTGTTTTCAAAACTACACAAAACAACCATCAACACTATGACGAGCCAGCCATATAACAACTACAATAGCAATATAACAAAATGCAATATTACAAAAGTACCTTAAAAACAAACAAACAAACAACTACAACTGCAACTGAAATAATCAAAAAACAATAACTCAAGACTTAGCCATTTTTTGCAATAGCCAAAAAACAACATTAACTATTTTTAAATACTTACTATAATAGTTTATATTATTAATTTACAATACACCACATAATTTCAAATCTCCAACTTTCCCCTCCGAACCCATACACAATGCTGTTTAACACATGGACTGAAAAGTTATAATCACTTAAGGGAAATTTTGCCAAAGGATACTTTCTTTGAAACAAGGCTTTGTAAAATATTTGAATCTTTATGGTACGAAGATGGTCATAGAATCAAATATAATACAGATTAGTTATCAAAATCAGTACAGTCGTTAGAATTGCTGAGCAATGGAAAATAACTTCTATTCGATTCGAAGGCTTCCATTTCTACAGCTAATACAGAGAAGAAATTATTGTAGAATTTGAAGACTAATTCGGGTTTGTTGTTCGACATTATAACATCCGCCCATATTGTAACCTCTTTTAGTCCATGTGTTATTTTTCATTCAATTTTATTTTCCAATAGTACAAGCAACAACAAAAGCTTTCAAGCTTAAAAAATTTATTATTTTTATTTATACAACTCCAAAAGTATTTAGTTTTTTTTGTTATTTTAAGTTTACATTTTAATATATATATATATATATATATATATACCACAAGTGTCATTATACAAAACAACAATAGCAAATAATAGTATGGATACAAACAAACAAACAAACAAACATGGAAATAGTAACCACAAGTACCTGCAATAATATGATTAAATAAAAACCAACCAATCAGAGTTGACTGAAAGTTTCACAAGTCTATAAAATGTTACCCCCCCATCCCCCTACCCTTTCAAGTGAGACTTTCCAACTCTGTAACTTCCTTTAATAATATCATAAACAACAACAATTCATTTAAAAACAAAACTGTAGTTTGTTATAATTTTTTTTTTGTCAGTACAGCTTACCTTTAGTCCTTATTCTAATTCAAACTTTGAAAAACAAAAACCACTCTCTTTGGCTGCATAAAATTTAACCAACAAAAGTAAAAGCAAAACAAACACACACCAAATTACATTCTTTTTTGATTTGTTCTTCAGTTCTAGAAGCAGAGGTAGAATAGCGAAGCAGTTTTGTAGGACAATATGATGATGTTATATCTCATATAAGGAATGCAGATATATTCCGATTTGGGGTCCACAAATTAAGTTAATCTCACCATTCAGGGAAAAAGTTAACGATTTTCCTTTGGAGTCATTTGTTTTTTTTTTTTTTTTTTTGTGACCATTGCTGAGTTTGGTAACCTTCAAATCAAGCTCTACAGTCCTCCACATGAATCAATTGTATTTCGCCTAAGAAGACATATCGTTTTGAAGCATCCTTATGGTCGTCCATTCATATAACTTTGGGTTCATAAGATAACTTTCTATTGGCCTTATATAAAGACGTTTCAGGTCGTATAAAACATGGCATTTGAAGACGACTTTAGGCCACTCTTTCAGTTGTATTCCAATGAGTTCAATGCATGCTGTAAGGATTAGTTTAAGGTGGTCTATATTATGGACAATTATTGGCTGATATTTGTGTTGTCAGCAATGTTTTTCCTGTATAAGGACTTATTTACATTTGCCCAAAGGATTTGGTTTAGTACAAGACTTAAAATGGTGCACTAAAACAATTTAGGCTGAACTATGACCTATCTAGAAAGACAACTGTCTTGATATTTCCATATAAACATGGCTTGAGATTTAAAACTTTAATGGGACAAAATTTGCTGTGGAACCTACAATCTCTGCTTCCTTTGACCACAAAAAATAAAAAACAAAAAACAACACCTAAATCTCAAAATACCCTTTTCGGCATTCAAAATTCAAAAACCAAATCAAACAAAATAGCAAAAATAGAAATTCAGAAAAACAAAAACATTTTTCTTTAATTTCTCTTACAACACAAAAAGAACCACCAACAACAAGATGAACAAACATTAATTGTAAACAACAAATAAACAAACAAAAAATAAGAAATCGGTAAATTGGGTGCCTATAATTAATATAAATAAAAAAATATTTAAAAATGTAGTTAAATTTTTTTATTAAATCAAATATTAAAAACGTAACAAGAAAAAGAATAAGAAAATAATAAATAAATACACGCATACACACACAGACAGACACAAGATACAAAAGTTAACAAAACAATAACAGCAACAAGACAAAGATGAAATAAAACAACAAAATAAAACTACTACATAACCAAAAAAAAGCAACAAATAAATAAATAAACTACAATACGAGGCAATTCAAAAACGTTCGCATAAAACTTGTTAAAAATAAAAAAAAAATATTTTAACAAAAATTAATTTAATGTTTATTTCGTTTTTTCATTTTCTTTATAAACCATGAAAAAAAACTAAAGACATTATCTAACAAAATTCCTTTTGGCACACCCTTTGAAAAACGTTTTTCAAAAAAACAAACCATCTAGAAAACGAAAAAGAAACAAAATTTGTACTTTTGTACTTTTCAAAACAAGAGAGAGAGCGAAAGAAAACCCAACCAAAACTTATCAAAATTCAAAATTGCATTTTTGGCTTAACAAAAAAATGAAAAATGATTTTTTTACATTTGAGAAATTTTCTTTTCTTTTTTCACATTTAATTTTTCTTTTAAAAAGCAATATTTGAAAAAAAAAAAAACAAACACAATTTGTAAAAATAATACAATTGCGCTTTTAATTTTTGAATTCATTTTTTTTTTGTTTTAAAGAAAACAGAAAATATATATTAATTATATTATAAATAACATAACACTTATAATTATAATACCAACAACATATGTAGTAGTTTATAATTTAATAACAAAACAAAAAGAAAACCATACAACTTTTAGCATTATAAATATTTTATATAATATTATAATTCTTATTACAGAAACAACAAACAACAAAGAAACAACAAACAACAAATAATGTAAAGAAAAAATATTAATTCAATCTATTACAACCATATATGTTCTGTTTCTGTGAACCTTAAAGAAGCCTTTCAAAACTCTGATATATACGAAATATAAAACAAAAAGAAAATATTATGAAAAAAAAAGAAATAATTTTATACAAACAAACAAAAACAAATAGCCAAAATAGTTAATAATTTTAACACTTCCATTAGAAATTTTCCACGACCACAATACCATTCACCTCCCCCCAACCCAAATTCGCATGCCAGGGATATTGTGTGAATGGTAAGATTTTCGAATGTTCTTAGTTCCGAATAGGAATGGATTGGCTTTAACCAAACCATTAACCACAAAAAAGGAAACTAAAGAGTTCGAGATCCCTTTGCCATCCACACAAATTTTCTTTGCATGCTCCAACAACATTTTAATTTCTTTTTATAGTTTAACAATAGCAATGGTTTCTTAACTTAAATGAAAAGAAAATTGCAACCACAATATACAGGATGAGATAAAAAAACTGCAACAAAGTCAAACGCCATAATTTTTACACTTTTTTTAATTTTACTGTCGCAAAAATGCAAAAAAAAATGTCGGAAATAGCATCAAATTTTAGAATAAGTTTAGATTTGTTCGAATTGGTCACCACCTTTGACACGAATTATGGCCTTCAACCAACCGCCAATGAAACCGTCATTGAGTCCTGTTGGAATGTCCAACACCCTCCAGATTATTTTCGAGATAATATTCTGCATTTATTGTGATGCCACAGTCGATTAATACGAGCAGAGAGCGACGATCGGCTGTTATTGGGGCCACACCATTACCATGGCCGGCGCATGAGTTCTGTTGGCCAACTGAAGGTGCACATTTTCAGCTGACCTCTTTGGCAGGTAAACACGATCATTTTGTTTGTTTACAAACTGCTGGACAACGAATGTTTTCTCATCGGAGAAAACCAAATTCGGCAGTTCACCACTTTCGGACAAGCGAAACAACTCTTTAGCTCTTTTGAGACCATTTTCTTTTTGTTGCGGTGTAAGTTCTTACACTTTTTGTAATTTCAATGGCTCATTTTTCAATATTTGCCGAACGGAATGTTGCGATATGTTCAGCTCACGGGCCATATTTCGGCCACTCCGACGCGGGTTTCGATCAAGTCGGTTCTTTACTTTTCGAACCATTTCTGCTTTTCGAACCATTAATTTATATTTAAATGCTGGAGTGCTCTAAGGATAGTCACTTGTGGTTTTCAAATATAAAGAAATCACACTGTCACGCTTGAATTGCACCACGAATAACTTTTATTTCTGGAATATTCTCACCAAAATGCTTTTGCACCCTTGTAAGCAATATAATAAGCTGTCACTGGAATAACGAGTTGGACGAGTGGCTTAGAAATGACAGCAGTCTGAAGTTGGTTGCAGTTTTTTCACCTCACCCTGTAATAGACGTTTAGAACAACAATACTCAAATCTGGAACAAAAATGAGAATGACCCAAAATCGTGTAACCAATGAAGATAACAGATATATAACTACAAACCAGTTCAGCTAATTCAGTTAGATTCAAAAAAACGTTTCCATTATTGCAATGTTATTAAGAATATAATATGTGAGTCATTCTAATAATATTCCAAG